CTCCGTTTGTATCAGCACTTGATTTTTCTCCGTGAAATCGCTTGAATTTAATATTATTCCGATCTTTCCAACGACTTATCCAACCTTCTGTGGCTTTAAAATCACTTTTTCAGCGAAAAATTCAGCCCAATTTAATAAAACATTTATATTTTATGGAAAACACGCACACTGATAAATAATAATAAAGCTCCGCCAAAACAAAATATTTTTGACTTATGTCATGATTAATATTGCTTTATTGAAATAGAACAGTGGTTCCCAACCGGTTTGCCGCGAGCGCCCTTTAAATGTACCGCGATAAATCTATAAATTGTTTTATAAGTATGTATTTACCAGCTTATTATTGATATTCGAGATAAAAACTGATCGAACTAATCGTAGATACATATAATATTATTTATTATAAGTATGCCTGTCGCAGCCATCGCAATCGATCGATTGTATTAATATATTTCACAATAAATAACCTTCTAATAGAGTATACTGTAAATAGTTTACATATATATACAAAATATGGTTCACATAATATATGAATTGGTATGCTACGAAAATATTGTTGGAGATAAAGTGTACCGCATTGTTAAAAAGTTTGAAAATCACTGAAATAGAACGTGCGCTATTTTGATTAGTCATAATCAAGCAGTTACTGGATGGCTATATCAAAATTATGCCAACAATTATTTATTTATGCTAAACTGTTTACAATATAAAGGTAATTGTTTTATATTTATACATGAACATCATTTTGACATATACTATATACTAAACGTATCATCTGAAAAGTTTTAAAAATTAAGTAAATAAGTAGTAGGTACTATGTGTATAATATTATTATTTATTTTATTCAATAGGCTTATAAAATGACTGTTGAGCATAAAATTAACCCCGAAAATTTAAATCGTTAGTCCAAGAGTGTCAGTCTCTTTATGATTACAAAAACAAAATGTATTTTCTTTCTGTTCAATTTCTTTTAAAAGAAACTATAAAATAGGAATAGCAACATTCTCCTCGTCAGGTTATGACGGCTGGTTTTACTTTGATTTGACTAACTATATTTAATTAGTGTGCGATCATAATTCTTTATTTTGACTAAAAGCAAAATGACTAAACCAGTGGCGCAACCAAGGAGGGTGTTTTGGGTGTCTGGACACCCCCCTTTGAATCGTATTGCTAGAAATTACATTCCATAACCATTGCAAAAAATGTTCTATCGACTGTCATAATTTATTTATAAGTAGGTATCATTAAAAAATAATGTTTAAAATACTATTAAACAGGATGCAAATGTGTGAGTGTTATAAATATTTTGTCCATATTTTACCGACTAATTCGAAAATTTATCATGGCTAAAATAAATATATTATTAAAATCTAAAGATATCTATAATATAATATAGGTACTGTATAGTATTGTACAGCATAGATATCTGTGTTGCAATTATGTACATAATTCTATTATTAAACTTTGCGATAAAACAGGCCCTGGAAAATTCGGTAGAGAAAAACCCACAAGTAACCAAATGTTTATCTTATCTCACACCTTAATCAAATTCTCGTCAAAAATTTAATAATAATATATTTGTATAACTGTATTTACGTGTTTTTATTATATCAGTTCAGTTGTTTGATAGTTATTGTTGCCGTCGGATAAATAAAATGAAGAAGCGTGTATGTATAACAGATTTTTTTCGTCAAAAAAGGACCATGACAAGAATTGACACGATCAATTGTGAAAACAAATATTGACAAATCTAGTCCGAATAACGAATACACTTATTCAAGCTATCAAATAAAACATGAACATGTTAACCGCGATAGTAAGGTTAGTTTATTTGATATTCAATTATATGTCGATAAAAGTCAAAAGCTTTCAAATAAAGAAAAAATTTAATATTTTCAAAAAACATGGTTAGGTTAGGTATTTCCGAGGATTGAGTTCAATAAAAAAAAATTAAAGTTTCAATTAAATTGGTTGGACAAATGGAAATGGATAGTGTATTCACAAATAAATGACAGGGCGTATTGCTAGCAATAATATTGTGTTATATTTTATAAAACAGAAGAAGGTATTGGATCTCAGACCTTGGGAAATTTTTGTCTTAAACCTTTTAGAATGTGGTATAAATCAATAAAAATATTTAACCATCATGAAAAATATAATTATCACCTTCAATCAGTTGAAAAAAATCAAAACGTTATTGCCATTGAAACTGGGAAACATGATTCTATCGACTTACAATTAAATAAAGCTGCTAAAGTACAAAAGGAATTTAATAGAAAAATTTATTCCTGTAATCGAGTCTGTGATTTTTTGCGGAAGACAAGCAATCGCCTTATGGGGACATCGTGATTTTGGAACATTAACGACAGAAAATCCAGTAGAAAATGACGGTAACTTTAGAGCTTTAATGCGACTTAATTTAAAAGCAATAAAATTGTCTGGTGATGAATCTTACCAATTAGCTAGAATTATTGTACAAAAAAATGCACAGTATACAAGTCGGAAGATTCAAAACGAAATTATCGGTTCTTGTCATGAAATTATATTATTTGAAATCGTTAATGAAGTGAATAATAGTAAATGATTTTCGGTTATAGCTGACGAGGCGGCAGATGTGGCTGATATTGAGCAATTCTCAATTTGTGTTCGTTATTTTTATTTTAAAACTAAAATAGTAAAAGAACCATTTTTAAAATTTGTCCCTGTCATGAATTTATGTGGAAGCGCAATTGCAAGTACGATTATTAAAGTACTAATCGACATGAAAATTGAAGTGCAATATCTAAGAGGCCAAGGTTACGACGGAGCTGCATCGATATGTAGGCGATTGTGTGGCGATTAATGGTGTTCAGGCATGTATAAAAAAAGAATATAAAACAGCTAAATATATCCATTGCAGTTTACACAGTTTAAATTTGGCTATTTCTTATGCTTGCGGATTACAATATATTCGAAATACTATGGGTACAATCGAAAAGGTTTTTTAACATTTGACAATTAATAAAATATGTCATAATAACTATGTCATTATAATTAATAAATATGACATTTTTATCTAAACATACGTGATTTATGTTTTTCATTTTATCGAACGCCAGATGTCAGTAGTATATTCAGAAATAATTATGGTGGTAGGTTTGATTCAAATCGTTTGAATAAGATAATATACTAAATATTAAATAGTAGTCTTCTTAAATTGTCTAGTCATTAACTTTACGAAAAATAATTATGAGAGACAGTGGCGCAACCAGGGGGAGGTTCAGGGGTTATAACTCCCCTTCGATTTTTTTTCTTTTTCCCAAGAACAATTTAATAAATATACATTTATATATGAAAATACATATATTCGTAACCATGCAACCAACCCCCCCCCCCTCGAAATTATTATCTAGTTGCGTCACTGATGAGAGACTGTAAACGCTACTGGCGAACACCTCTCTTGAAAAAATCCTAGTTACGCCACTGGACTAAACATGACTTGAATTCCTTTAGTCAATTTTGCTTTACTAGTGTGCGGTCAGCCTTACGTACAGCCCGATTTAGTACCTGACTTCTATAACATTTATACTGCTGATATCCCTCAAACCTCTAACACACTATTAATCACCTTTTCCAATGACACAGCCTTATTGTCCACTAGCGATGATATTTTTATAACTGCACACAATTTGCAATATCACGCAAGCTTAATTGAAGCCTGGTGCAAACACTAGTTGATTAAAATAAATGAGAGCAAATCAACTCAAATGACTTTTATTCTTCGCCATGGTATTTGTCCTTTAATCAAATTAAACAATGTAAATATTTCTGTAAGTAATGAAACTAAATATCTCAGCATTTTACTCGACAAACATTTAACTTGGGGCCCTCACCTAAAAAACAAAAGAGAAATGGCAAATAGTAAACTCCACCTTTTTTGACCTCTCCTAAAGTTCAAACTCAAACTTAAATTAAAAATACCTTTATATAAACCAGTTATTAGACCACTATGGTTCTATGGTATCCAAATTTGGGGTCTAGCCAAACCTTTAAACATTCGCCCTATTCAGTCATTTCAAAAACCCCTAGTATGTAACAAATCAACCTTTACATAACGACTTACAAATAGAAACATTAAATGTACTTTCAAAACGCCATTATAATCCCTACTAGATAAAACTATTAATGAATATTAACCCCTAAAATCAAAAAATCTCCACAAATCTTATCCCTGACCAGAAACTAAACAGACTAAAAAGAAACTAGAATCGCGACCTATTACTTTGATGAAATACATATAGAACTATACAATCATCTTATTCTACGCTTTGATAATTAATTTAATCTAAAAAATTTTACATGGGGTATTACCAGTTGGTGACTTCCCCTATCAAGTGACTTATGTTTTATATTATGGTTTTCACAATGACTTATTGTACAAATTATGTGTGTAGAATATCTTTTTCGTTTTAAATAAAAAAAAACCCCTCCTCCGATCCGTATATACAAGTGTGTATTTATCCCTCTACCTAGGATGATTATAAAATATATTTGAAATCACGAATTGATTAATTTTTAAATATTTGTAATTATTTCCTCATATTCAAAATTTAACTTTGTTTAAAATATATTTTTCATTACATATTACATCTCAAAATATATATCTATGATTAAAACCACTCCAATCAATAGAATTTATTCAAGTACTCAAAGCTAATATATTATATTTAGCGTTGATTTTTATTTATTTTAAGTATTAATTATGTTTAAAAACTTATCATCTTGGATAAGTAACACCATTGATTGTAATATATTTTATAACTAATGATAATATGTTTCGATTGATAAAATACCTGTCTCATAGCATTTCATTTTATTATAGTATTATTTTAGACTGCGTACTTGAATATAATCATTATTTTCAGCTCATAATAATACTACATACGTTTTAAAAGTCTGATCTTTTGAATAATATATCACATTTTCAATAAAATATAAATTTAACTTATTTTATTATTTATATTATTAAAATTAAGTTATATTATAATAAATTTTAACTAAAATTTTTAACTGGACGTATAACTTATAAATCACTATACTTCTGTTCTGAGGTACCTATAATAGTTTATTTTAATTAATTTAATTTTTAAGATTACTAAACTTAATCAATAAAATCAATGTATAATCCATTAATTATATTTTACAATGAAATTGGTGGTTTTTAATATCAACACAAATACATTCAAATTATTGAGTTTTTTACTTATTTAATAAGTTTTTATTGTATTATAGTATACATTCCTTTAATAATACATTTTTTTTTTTTTGGATTATCAATGTTCGAATAATCGATATAAATATTCATATATTACCATTTCCGTATATTTAAAAGTAGTATATTACTTTTACCTATGCTTACTAGATCATTTATTTGTTCCAAAGGTCATACAATAAAATACATTAGAAATACTTCAACCGCTCTTTAAATTATACCATTTACTAAAAAACTTAGTAGTAAATAATAATATACAAAATACATTAAATGTTGTTTGCATATAGGATATTGCACGAATACATAATTTTCTTAAAAATTTAACATGAATAAGATTATGATATATCTTTTATTTGCTATGAGTTTTTTGTAAATTAACTAATACATTTTAACAGATATCAAACTATACTTGGGATACTATGAAAACTTTAAGAAGATGTACGCCGATAGTATTGGTAAGTTTTAATATTGTTTATTTTGTTTATTTAGTTTGTTTTAATGTAAACCTAAAAAATATCAGAATAAACAATTTTCTCGATATTCGAAACACTTAATATCTGTATCGCCTAAAGATATGTGTAATTTAATTTTGAACTTTTAAATTGAAGAGCGGGAGTGAAAATCAAAAATTTTGTTTTTCTGTGCAAAGTATTTAGTACATTTTAATTTTTCAAAAATAAATAACATATAAAATCTTTTAGGGATTAAAAAAAAATTAAATTCAATGTCATGGATTTGAAAAATTGTGTGATACATTATTGTTTAAAATACTGTACAACTACTTATATTTAATTTTGATCATACATTTATTTTTCTAACTAATACGAAGTTGGCAAAAAGTAGTTAAAATAAATGATAGAATTTTAATGAAGGTTTTTACTTGATATGTCGATAGTAATAAAATGATAAATATGCTTAACAAATGATTCATTATAATGGTATCTACAGTTAATTTTGTTATTTGGTGTATAAATAATTTGGATAGTTTCACGAATCATTTAAGTAAAACGTTTTTAATTGACTTATTAATTATATTCGTTCTGTTTACTTATAACATATTTGTGTAAATTATACTTTTTTTAATTATCAATTATATTGCTTAATTATACCTACCCATAATTCTAAATTACCTATCAGTATAACTTTTCATGTGCAAATTATTTATAATAATCATTTAAAATACATAATATAAATGATACGAGTATATAACAGGGCTGGCTTTAGATACGATCGATGTGTACGATGGCACAGGGCGCAAAATAATTTACTATAGCTAGAAAAAATAATAATGTTCACAATATGATTTAATACACTCCTAAATTAATTTTATTATTATATGAACATGCAGGTATTAGCTGCGCTTGTAATTACAATTAGTTTTATAAACTATCACTATATTATAAATAATATATGTCTCTGTATGATTTACAAATATGTGGCAAGTATAGTAATTTGAAAAATTATTTTGAACATTTTTGATTATGAATGGACCTCCAGCTTCCCAAATTATATCTCTTACGTTATATGTTTAAATTATTTAAGAGACAGATGCGTCAAAATAGTACTTGCACTGGGCGCTGAAATAGTTAAAACCGACTCTGTATATATGTATATACCATTAGCTGACCCGACAAACGTTGTATTGTCATATAAATTGTTTCTAGAGAATATTTTGCTGAAAAAAATAACTAATTTAATATAAGTGTGTAAGGATGTGGTATATAAGTGGAAGAGGTATGAAGTGCTGTGAACGGTGACGAAATATAAAAATGAAAAACCATCAAACATTTATATTTTTAATAATTTATTAAAATTGATCCTTAAAAATGATATATATCGCTAATTATAACAATATTAGTAAAAAAAAATATCAATCCCTTAATGCAACAGAGTGTACAATATTTTTTGTTATCCCATCTTTCGCCAACACAAACTGGATGGTTCGAGATCACGCCACGTATAATTGTCCGTATGAAAAATATTATGTGCTCAAATCTAAGCCACAGACAGACATCGTTTGGTCTTGAGACTTATTGATAGTCATTACAAATGCCAATTTAATTGGAAATTGAAGGCGTTTAAATTGTATTGGCACATCTATGGGTAAAATAAGGATTCGCGGAATAATATATTTTCACCTCGGAATTTGCCATTTAAAATGATGGCTTCGATAACATTTTTCATTCATTTTTTAATGACTAATCGCGTGCCGTTGCACAACCATGGTGGGTTCAAATTATGAACCAAAATAACTGGATGTCCAACCTTCAGTTGTAAATTATGCGGTGACTTGTCTAGTAAATCCAATGAGTTTAAAAACTCTGTTGGATAATTTACAGCTTCAGTAGCATCGCAAACTGTATCAATAAATTTGTATGACACCAAGTCTTCTGGTAACAAATGTTATATTTTAAAATTCGATTTGTTGACGTCCAAATTTTTTGCTGCTAAATTTGCTTTTTCTGCCAGCCACTCATGATTCGTGTATTGCCTTTGTACATTGTGTACATCAAAAAATAATTTGAGCCAAATCGGCCCAGCCATTCTCAATTGATGAAATGTTATACATTTTTGGCTCCATTTATATATATATATAGATAACAAATTATTATATGTTTATATTATATTATGACATAAATTTAAATTTCCTTCTATAATTAAAAATAATTTTTAACCATCTTGTGATCTTATAAAGTTTTTACATTTTTTCCTGAACGCGTACAATTTAAATTTAATTTTGATAAGAAATGTGAATTTTTTGGTTTTAATTAGTAGAATTAATAAAAGTTAAATAATGATAACCTTATATTACACCTAATCAAATGGGCATGTGTGTTCACACATATTCCACGTGTGCAATCATTTATTTGCGTGTAAAATTAATGTTATTCCTATCCTACAACCCATTGTTTATACAAAAATAAATTTAAATATTTTTATTGGTATACGTGATAGGCACGAAATTATTAAGTAGATCGTTTTATATTTATATTATCTGGTGCATGAATTATTTTCATGTAAAATAACAGTGTTATTGACTAAGCATTAATGTTAGTTTCATTTTATTCTAATTAATTTATAAAAAATACATCTACTTTAATAAAATACAAGTAACTCTTAACTCTTAAATAATACGAAAACATTTATTAAAAAACTGCCCAACCGTATAATATTTATCATTGTTTTATGTTTAATTTCTTTTTCGATATTTTTTAGAATAGTAATATTTTATATTTTTACAGAATGTAGGACAACATGAATTATATTCGAGTTCCTTAGGACATGTGTCGGTGGCTCAACCTAAACACTCTTCAATTCCAGATCATTCAGCATCATCACTGTCAAATGATGAGACCTTTGTCCCGTCTAAAATAAACTATTCACGTTTCATCAATAAGTTGTCATCAAAACGATCAGCGTCTCTTTTACGAGAAATATGTAATTACAACAAATTATTGTGATCAGTATAAATACATATAAGTCACATGAACACATACACACTACGCAACATAAATATTCTAAATTGAGTTTTTGAATAGTATGTATTCACAACATGAGAGCTAAGCTACTAAAAATATATCATTACATTATAGAAAATATTTTTTTATTTTTTTTTTATCGTAACCAATATTCTTTATATTGTATTAATTATATGGATCTTAGATATATTAGATAACAAAAATGTTAGTAATTATATAACTTTCGTATAACATACCTACATTTAATTGATAAAACTTGGACTAAAAATTATTGTTGAAATGGTTCTCATTAGTTAAATATTACTTGAGGTCGGAAATATCTTATTTTATATATTTTTTTTTTGATTCTATGCAGTCGGTGCAGGTTCGAAACCTTTACAAATCAAATCATGAAACGTGTAAATTAATTAATTAATTTTTTGCATATTTGAGAATATTTAAAATTAAAATAGTATTTTGTATAATAAAGCATATTAGAGAATATATCGATTAATTTTATAGATTTTCGGTAATTTGTGTTGCAGTGGCGTTAGTATAATAAAATATATGTTCGATAATATTGATATTAATTTTGAGAAAAGTAGCAAAAGTTTTGAATGGATATACTGAAATACAAAATTATAATTTTGAGCTGTAGGTATTATTTTTTTATTATATACATATTTATATCAGATTTTTGTATTATGTACTTCATTTTTTTCGCATATGAAAGCATACTTTTTGCATATTTTACTATGAATTTTAAAAAAAAAATATTTTTAATTTTTTAAGATAATATTAGTGCCTTATTTTTGAGAAAATTATTCTAGCCTCTAATCGAAATTAATTTTTATTTAAAACTATATACAATTAAAATTTATTCATGTAAAGCATTATCCGTTTTTTATACATCTTAAAATTACATACTAGACTAATTATAACATTTATTTTAAAACAAAAATTTAATATTTTCTGCCTTTTTTATTTTTACTATGTTTAATACATTTTGGAGAGTTAGTAATTTTGATATTTGGGTCAGCTTAAAGTGATTAAATTCAATTATTTCTGTCTTTGTCTATCACACGCGAAATTTAAAATTGATTTTCATTTATTGTAAAATTTACTTTTCCAGTACTTTCATTTTTTTCCCTAACATTTCATGGAATAGAAAAAATAAACTAATAACTTAGCTTATATTAAACATACAATTTAAAAATGTGGAAAATTCGGTTTAAAGAAGACTACGAAAACGTATTCAAAATCCTTATCGTAGTTAATCGATCTGTTCATTCGATATAGAAAACGTGTAAGTAAATTCCTATATTACTCATGTGATAAATAGAGACTAAAAGTCATGACTTGTAACTCCATAAATTCATGTGCCCCAAATCGAAGAGACCCATGGTTTATATCAGTGGTCTTCAAAGTTTTATCGCACTTAGCACACTATGCTGTTGAAAAAATGTTCACAGCACACTGCCTTTATTTATTTTAATTTGTTATTTTATATCAAATTAGATGAATAAAATTGTTTTTAATTATTTAATCATAAATTTATGTTTGGTGGACATACATCTTTAGATTAATTATATTCACTATTGTTACCCATTAGAAAATTACTTAATTAGAATAATCGCTTATTTAAAATAAATAAATAGTTCATACATTTAGTTAGAAATATATGCTTGATGAGCGTTACAAATATTTTTAGTTCTTGGACGAATATTTGACAGAAATATCCGAATTTTTTAATTTAGTTTTTATCGTCTTAAAACGCCTTGCTCGATATGAAGTTGAGAACAATAAAAAGAACATTTAGTGTACATTTTCAAAAGATCGCAGCACACCTAGTGAATACTCATGGCTAACCAAAGTGCCGTAACACCCAGTTTGAAAACCACTGGTTTATATAATAGTAAAAGATATATTTGTTGATAAAATTATATTTACTTGATCTATCTCCTCCCTCCATGACAATGTATGTGATGCTGTATATCCTTCTGATTTAAATGATCAGAGTGATACTCTAATTAATTACTAATAATTAATTTCGTATTATTTTACAGGTAGTAAGCTGGACCATTTACCTCCCACTTGCATTAAATTTGCTATAGGAGTACCGAATGTATTGACTTTTCCTTTTAAAAAAGTTAGCGTAGAACTAATTACCGGGGAAAGTATTGAACTTCAAGGTGAAGAACTATCTATTGCTTTACAATATCTTCCTTCACAAGGGTAAGATTTTACGAAATACTTGGTGAATAATAACTTACTTTAAACAATCAAATTAATTCTAATTGGAATTTACAAAGGATAATTATAATTATATGTTCGTTGGTTTTAATAGTTTTCCATTAAATTTAAGTCGATTGTGCATTAATAATGGTTACTGATTATTAGAACTGGGATTTTGATTCAAATGCATCTTTTTTTCTGATTTCCAAACGATTGGATCGTGTTTCAAATGATATTAATTAATTGAATATAGTTTTTATTTTGAATTTTTTTGCGTTTTACGACAAATTTAACTGTATATGCATATAAAGGGCATATGTTGCTATTTTTAGTGAATTTTTTAATTTTTTAGAGAATTTTTCAGAATTTATGTTATCTATACATTTTTAAATATTAGGATATTTGATTTCACATTTCAGCATTTTTTCGCTTAAAATGTGCACATTTAGTATGTAATCTACTAAATTGATAGCTAATGAATACGAGAATATCGACCCATAATTTATTAAAAGTAGAACAAAATCAAAATATTATAATTATTTTATTATTAATTATTATTATATAAAAGAAATTTTTTTATTTACGAAAATCCAACGACGACCATAATAACTAGTTATGAAATAAATTAAATTTAAATAAAGTTAAATAAAATGTAAATATTAAATAAACAAGTACCTATTTTATTATGATTATTTTAAATAAATATAATGAAATATGTTTGATAACACAATTTTCATAATATAATTTTTAAACTATAATAAATACATTTTTATACGCATTTTTATAGTGCACTTTTTATGATTTTCAAATTTTTTAGTTATTTTTTACATTTTTTAGAGCAGTAAAATCCCGGCCCTACTGATTATATATTATACACTAATCATTATATGTATTATATTCCTAGTTTTAAATTAAATTTAAAGTTTTTCGTTAACTATTTTATATATAAATAATTATTTTAAACTTCTGTTTCAAATAATTAAATTAAAACAGTATTGAGAATAAATGATGTACAGTATATATTAAAAATGAACTTGTGAGGTGTTCAGATATTAATTTTAAAACAATTATTACCAAAAACATAAATGTTGTCTTTACATTTTTAGGTACCGCCCTCTTATTAATATATTACAAAAATTGCAAGATTCATTTCACGGGCCTCAAAATTGGGAAAACAGAGCTATCATGGTGACATCTGGCACTCAAGATGCATTATCTAAAGCTGTGGACATGTTGATGAGTTTTAATGATCCAGTGCTACTACCAGATCCTATATATTCAGGAGCAATAGACTTGGTACTCCCAATGTCTTCAGTTTTACTAACAGCATGAGCTAACACACTCATCTAATAGTGTATAATATCGCTATAGCCAAGAGGGGAGTGTTATTGCCAGCAAGCACCTACCACTCCCCCACCCCCCACCCCAAAAAAAAAACTCTTTTTTTTTCAAACTTGACTACGTTTTTCCTAATATATACACAGTAATGAAATTATTTTCAACATTGACAGTTAATACTACTTTAGTTAAAATAAGCTTTTCTATTTTTAAACATAAAAAATTGCCAAAGAAATTCAACTTTTGAAGATAGGTTGAATGACCTGACACTAATAAATGTACACATAGATATAAATGTAGACATTGAATCAGTAATAAATGTTTTTTCCATCAGAAAAGAAAGACGTATCGTATATGTAAATTTTAAATTATAAATTTAGAATCGAATTATAATATAATTATTTTATATTAATTATTTAATAAATAACTTATATTAATAAATGTAAACCCATAATTTTCAATAATGTTAATGTAAGTATGTTAAATGCAAGCATGGGCATAAGTTAAATTAATTTTACTTTAACTTATTTCATTACTGATAAATTAAATTAACTTATTAACTTAACTCATTTCCTTACAGATTAACTTGAAATTAACGTATTTTTTTTTTATTTATCCCAATTAAGTTTATTTTGATTTTCAAGGCCAGAAAAATATTTTTGTAAAATGCCGCATTCGATAACAAGTTTATGGAATTTAGAAAAATATAAAAATAAAAATTTCGAAAATTTTTTAGATGAAACCATAATATTTATCATGGTATTAGCTATGAATAGGGGTTCTGCCGGAGACTACATAAATTACCATAAATTTGACATTTGAGTGCTTAAAAACAATCCCAATGAAGAAATTTATAATTTTCTACTCTAATTTGAATATAATTAGATTTTTCTGCATTTTAATTATTTTTAATGTTAAATATGATAGTAAATTATTAATATTTATATATATATATATATATCACTTATATCAGGGCTTAATGTAAATATATTTTTTTTTGTAATTAACTATATTAAAAATTAAAAATGATATTTTTTAACTTCATTTTTAACTTATTTATGTTATTCTCATGTGCATTAACTTAATCGTTAACTTAATTAAACATGAACTCAATTAACTTAACTTAACCGAGTCAAAAAATATCATCAACTTTCCAAACCTTGGTTAAACGTACCTATAGTATATAGTAAATACTTTAGACTATAGTTACCAATAGCTGTACAGTTAATTAAAGAAAAAATTATATACATGAACATTTAATGTTTACAAACAATGGGGTTATATGAAGTAATAGATGCTAAGTAGGTATTGTAAAAACGTAAGAAAAACATGTAGTGCCTTCTACTCCTCAAAAAAAAAAATTCAAAAAAATACTGCTTACAACACTGGTTTATGATATTATATTACAAAATTTAAAATCTTTTTTTATTATGAAATAAAACAATATAAATGCATACCCATGCATACACCACACCTGTTTAATTGATCAACGTGTTCTTAAAGCTTTATAATATATTATTTAAAATAGACACAACTTATTAAATAACCATATATACATTTCCAGTTCAAACCTTATGACGTTGAAATTATAACCATGAAACAAGATTCGAGTGGCATAATTGTGGAAGACGTTAAGAAAGTCTTGATGGAAAGAAAGGAAAAAATGCAATCGATACCAAAAGTATATCAATATTGTTTAATTAGTCTTATAGTGGCTTAGATTTTAGTATTTATTTATATTTAATTTTTTAGTATTTATTTTTATTTTTGACCACTTCAATGGCACTTTTTCATGGGTCTAATAACAAGTCATTTGCAAGTTGCGATAATTCATAAACTGTTCACTATACATCCGCATTATGTAGCATATTTTGGGTTTTATTCAGGGATTTTCTTGAATATAATTTTTTCTTCAAAAATATTATCATAGTTTAATCATAAAGTCATATAATAATGATAAACACATACACAATAATTGCCCAAAATATTGTAAAGATTACACATTAACTGTCCACATGGTTAAAATAGTAATTCTCTCGTCTTGACGTCACTGAAATAATTTAGCACTGTAGCAGTATACTAACATAATTACGGCCAATCCACGATTGCCTACAATAATCAGTATTCATAGTTATATTTTGAAAGGAGAATACTAAAGTTAAATATGAACAAGGTATAAATATTTTATTGATGAATTATTGGGATAGACTTAATTCACAAACCATCTCGAGTTATTCCGCATTATGTTATATAATAATCTCTCAGATACACAAATAAGTGATACATGAACAGGATATTAAGACAAGCAAATAATATTTGTATTAATAAGAAAATTAGTCAGAAAACAGGTATAGAGCTTTTTATCCCGACTTAGAAATGTTCAAACACTATTACAAAAAATAATCAAGGTTTCATATTTTAAAACAAAATTTAATAAGATATTTGTTTCACATTTATATATTTAGAATATTTAAACTTGAAATTAACTGGATATTTATTAAAGATTTCACTTTCCGATTGCGTTTTTTTATTTTACGTTTTTATATCATATATTTTTCTGTTAGGTGATTTATTTGAACCCTATTGCATCAAATCCAGGAGGCACTACACTAACTACAAATCGGAAACGAGAAATTTATCAACTTGCTTGCGAATACAATATGTTAATTCTCGAAGATGATCCATATTATTACTTAAATTTTGGACAGGTAAATTTTATAATTTTTTATTTCTACGAGGAAGCGTTCAATTAACAGCAATATGATTTTAGAAAAATCCCGTCAGTCTTATGTCCATGGATATAGAAGGCCGTGTGCTTCGATTTGATTCTTTTTCAAAAATCATGAGTTCTGGGTTACGTGTTGGCTTCGTAACTGGACCCAAAATGTTAGTTCGTCAAATGGAGTTACACATGCAAACATCATCAATAAACGCGTCATCATTATCACAAATGCTTTTATATAAGCTTTTATCAAAATGGGGTATAGATGGCTTCACTTCTCATACTATGCAAGTCAAAAAATTCTACCAGCAAAAAAGAGATCACACGATGCAAGCCGTCGAAAAAGAATTAAAAGGTTAGTCTTAACAATAATTTTACTATAAATTAACAAGAGTATAATATAATATTATTATATTATGTGAATATCATAAAATAATATTGAGTGAAATATGTTCAAATATTATTATGTGTAATATAATAATCTCTATTAAACAACTATTTTCATTCATAGGATTAGCTGAATGGTATGAACCTACTGGAGGAATGTTCCTTTGGTTAAAAATCATCGGTCTGAATGATACAAAACCATTAGTTACTTCTAGGTGTTTGAAAAAACTAGTAGTTTTAGCGCCCGGATATGCGTTTGCAACTAATTATACAAATTCCAGTCCGTATGTTCGAATTTCATATTCTATTGCAACACAAGAAGAAATAGATAGAGTATGTATTTCTTTTTAGTTTTACATTTTTTCAATATTTATTTAATTATTGTTCAGTAATTGAAGTATGATCAAAGTTTCAATTTGTATACTAAATAATAAATACGTCAAGTATTGATATAAAATGTTGATAAATAGTATGCTGTATTACTCATTATATAATATATTTTTTTTTTATTTGCACGTTTCATTGAAAATTTTGAAATAACTATTAAATTTGTAGGTTAGGACATTTTTTATAAAATTTTTTCTAATATTGGTTAGCGTTAGCATCTCAGTACAGTTATCAGTACCTAGCTTATATATTGAAAATCATTGATTATTTCCTATTCGAAACAGTTGTTTGTCTAGAACAGTGGTTTCCGACTGGTGTGCCACGAGCGCCTTTGAAGTGTGCTGCGATAATTCTATAAATTCTTTTATAAGTATGTATTTACCAGCTTATCATCGATATTCGATGAAAACTGATCGAACTAATTGTAGATACATATAATATTATTTATTGTAAATACGCCCGTCGCAGCCGTTTCAATCGATCGATTGTATTAATATATTTCACAATAAATAATACTCTAATAAAGTAGACTGTAAACAGTGTAAGTAGTATATATATATATATATATATATACCGGTCCTGGTGCACTTTTATATTTCTGACTTGGTTTATTAAAAATATTTTTTTCATTTCAAGCAATAAAATCTAAAATAAATTTTGCATTTCAAACAATAATATTTAAAATATTTTTTCATTTCAAAAAAATAAAATCTAAAATATTTTTTTCATTTCAAAATAATAAAATCTAAAATAAATTTTGCAATTTAAAAAATAATATTTAAAATATTTTTCTTTTTAAATTTAGATTTTCAAATGGTGATGGTTTGGGATATTTATTTCATTTCAAATTATTTGTTTTAATTAAATTGTTATTATGGGTAGTAAAATTATCTCTAGGTATATTTATTTTATAATGTCCCCAAGCTAATGCAACTATTCCGTTTTCTAAAATATCAGAGAATTCATACACTCTAAGACTCAAGAATTTGAATTTAAATGATTAAATGTTTTAAATAAATACAAAATATGGAACTAGAACATGTATTCAACAACTTAAAAGTAAAAACATAAATCGATAAAGATAATATCAAGCTAAAGATGTAGCTACTATTTTAGATTATAAAAATATAAATAAAAGTATAAAATATCATATATATAAAAAAGATAAAATTAATTTATCAATGAGTAATTATTTAAAAACATTTTATATAAATGTATCAGGTTTACCTATATTCGCTTATATCGATCCACAAATAAGTCTACACAGTTGAACTTGCATATTCCACCGTTAAAAAGATTAAAATAATATTGTCATAAAATAATTAACAAATTATCAATGAATTACATAGAATATAGATATATAATATATTATATTTTTAATTGTTCTATATATTGGAAGTCTGTTTTTCAAATGCTTATACACATTGATCGCTAATTTTGAAACCTATATATATCTATATATGTTACCGGCAATATAGATAATCCGGTATATTTCAAAATGCCTAGACATTATATAAAATGCCAAAAACCACTCGGAAAAATACATAATACGAGCTTTGCCTAGGTATTATGTATAATGCCAAACGTGGAGTAGGCAATATGATGAAAATAAACAAAATTGGGCAACGCCTATTAACAACGACTTTACTTCTCGTTTATCAAAAATGTGCGTGCACGATTTAACGTAATTAAAATTAATATTCTCTTACTACTATAATAATAATTCTGAGGTACAATATTGAACATAATAATAATTGTATTACAATAGGTATCGTAATTTTTCTGGTCATTTTTGTGTCTCATTTCGGTGTTGCAACCAGTTCCGGATTATGGGGGCTAAGGAGAAACTGCCCCGGGCGACAAAATTTAAGAGGTGGCAATTTTTTGACGGCGTCAACAAAAGTTTTGAAATTTTCTAATATATATACTAGTTTTTAGGAAAAATTATTACCTAACTTATTATTGAAAAATATTAATAACAATTATATAATATTATAATTATAATAATTATTTTATATTATTTTAAATCGCTGAGTTATTTCGTCTATGGGCGTTTAGCATATTAAGAGTAAAACCATATTATTATTGTTTAGCGCTCAGACCTATGCATTTTTATTTTCATTACACTGACATAAAATTGTGTTTATTGTATTTCTTATATATCTCTATGTGTGTATTATAATTCATAACCATCAGATTATTAAATTTGAATATAATAGTTTCAAATAATTTATTTACACACTACCAAGCAATTGTTTTATTTTGCAATTTTGTTATCTCTCTCTCTTTCTCGTCTCGCGGTCATAGTTGTCGTCATTGTCGAGTTCGATTCACCACGAATCACGATTGACTGGAAAACAAACGTACCTAATATTTTATTTTAAAATCAAAGTAACTAGTAAACATTTATAGTGTTTATAACTGGAACTTGAGAATGAGATTATACAATTTAAAACAATAATGAAGTATTTTTCAGAAGATGAAAAATTATCTCTGCACAGTTTTCTTGGAGTATTAACAGTATCAAAGTTAAATGATTCATTTCCTATTGTGGAAATAGCTTTAAAATTTTTTTATATATATATACATTGTATATGTTCAAATGCTAGCGGGGAAAGATCCTTCTCGGTTTTAAAAAGAGTCAAGAACTACCAGAAAACATAATTATCTATTGCAAATAATTTCCTGAAAACTATAGGTTGGAATGATATTATTAGAGAATTTGTTACATAGAAAGCTAAAAAATAGTTATAAATGTCTTATATTGAATAAATTTGTATTAAAATGTTTATATTTAGTACCTACTAAGGTCTATAAATTTAAAAAATACCGGTGTTACAATATGTTTATATGTATAAATTAATTAAACAATTTTAACTATGTTGTTACTTGTTGTATACATATATATATACATGTACTATACATATTTATTTTTTGGTTTGTAGAGGGGGTTGAAGGGCAGAATTTTAAAATCTGCCCCCATGCGGTAAATTTGTTAATCCGGCACTGGTTGCAACTATGAATTATATAATGATTTATATGAAATCAAATTTTTATAACAAACTATAACATTTTTTTCAAAACTTGGCCACTAATACTAGTTTTTATCTGATGAACAGTATAATGAGATAATAAAAATTCAATCCACAAGAATTGGCCAAGGGTTTTTAAAATGTGTTTTTTATTCCAAGTGTCAAAGTAAAAAGTGTATTTGCCTTAAAAATAACATTTTGTGTACTTCAAAACGTCACTTTTCTATAAAATAATAAGTAAATAATAGTTTAAGTAAAATATTTTTATAACAGTAATAATGGATAAAAATTTGATTTTATATAACATATAATAAATATTTGCATAATGCCTAGGTATTTTATAACATACCTAGGTTATATGTAAAATAATATTGAAAATCATATGTTTTATTTACATTGCCTAAAATGGGTCAGCAATTTGCATAATGCCTAGGTATTTTGCAAAATACCTGAATTATCCATATTGACGGTAACATATAAATGTTCCTCACTTTATTTTGGGTCTTTTAAGGAATAATATATTCTACACAGTATGAATAAATTAATATTTTAAAACCCTAACATATTTTAATTACAATATAATTAATATTATTTTTAATGTTTAGAATAACCTAAAATTATATTTTGATTCCAGGGAATATCACTATTGGCGGAATCTATACGAGAAGAATTAAAGCTAATTTAATGACAAACAATCACACAATCAAAATATTTTTTAAAAAAAATAATACTTTTTAATACTTAAATATCTATAAATAATTTAAAACAATTGTGGAAACTGTAATAAAATACAAATTATTTGAATGTTGAATATCTCATTCTTTAACATTAGAAATGTTAACAGTTATTTTTAATTCAAATAAATAAAAATTTAATTGAATAAAATAAATACTCCTCAAAATATTAACATATTTTAAAACAAAAAACAAATCAAATTATAATATTTATGTGACTTATAGGTTAAACTTATATAATTTTTTCACAATTATTAAGAAAACTGTTTGCAAATATGTAAAATGATCCTTTGAAATCACAGCAATATTTGGACATAATATTATAAGTGTAACACTAACCAGGTAATCTTTATGTTTGACAAAATTTATTTATAAATGTTTGTATGATGAATTATCTTTAATTCATAATGAAAATTATCTATTTATTGTCTTTTTAATAGAGATCAAACATAGTTATAATTGAATATATACAATTTTGGTTATAAAATTAAAAACTTTTATGAGATTCAAAAATAAAGATAATGGATAGCAAAATGTACCTATGTTTTTTTTTATTCTAAACAAAAAAATAATTTTTAAATTATAGTAACTACACTACAATTTACTACTCTACTAGGCTTTTGCCTTACACAAATGCTATAAATATGTGATAAGTCTATAAATTTTACTAGACTTCTAGTACAATTTTAATTTGAAATCATTGTTATTTAAAAATTTATCTGTTTTTTATCTAGATAAATTATATTTATCTATTAAATAGATAATTTTGGATTTGTTCATTTTTATTTTTATCTGGATAGATTTGAAGTATTTTATCTTTATCTAAATAAAAAAAGTATTTATCTAGGCTCAACACTGAATATATTGTTTATCCTTATATACTAATATTTTATTAATCAGCACAATCCATATTATTAGATTAATTGCATGATGCGATTATAAAGGCGATTTCTATTATTATACAATCTACATATAATATTTATAATTAATACAATCTTTAACATTACATATATCACGTGCTACTACATTCCTTCCAGGGGCGGACTGAGAGTATTTCGGCTCAGGCGGAGAAAGATATGATCGGCCCAACATTTTTTTATACAATTGCTGTTCAACTGATGAAAATTTTCATTTTTTTTTTTATCATATCCCTGTACCTATTTAGTTTTTATTTTAACAATTTTTAAAATTCATTAAGTTATAGAATTTTTTCTAATTTTTTATACTCCATCAAAAGAATATATTCAGATATTTCTAGAGGCAATGTTGCACTGCGGTGCAAATAGAATAACATAAAAATACTTTATGCATTCGAGCATAGACTAAAACCATGTTATTTTTACAAAACTATATGTAAATTTCATTATTCAAAAACTTCTTACTTTCTGCTTGTTTTGTAAGGATTGACAAACAAATTTCCATTTTAGAGTTTAAAAATGTAATACTGAGTAATTAATAAATTAAAATTGTTCAATAGTTTATTTCAAAACATAATATGTAAGTAACTAAATTATTACAATTTAATTTTTTCAACAAGTGGGATTAAGTTGCAAATATAGGCCCAACTAATTTCCTAAACAATTTTTTCAGTATATAAATAAATAGATACTATATAGGTACATTTAACATGATTTAAGAACTCACAGGTTGTTCATTACTTTCAAATTTATCGACATTAGTAAACACACTTGTTCGCGCCAACCGGCCTTACTCGGGCATACGTCGGACGCTGGATCCTCCGGACCGTCGTGAGAAGAATAACAATAATAATAACAATACAAAGTATATATAACATTAACAAAGTGTACAAGTTATATTTTTGAGCAATATTATATAATGGATTTATACGATTTATTTATTAATCGATTTATGCGAACACATATACAACCAAATATATAAATGGTGAGGTAACGGGGAACACCACTCTGTAGGCCGGAGCTGGCAATGGATAGCGACGGCTGAGCAGCTAGTGTAAATCCGGACCTGAACACGTGGTTGCCCGTAATGACGACCACACACGAGAATATGTTAAAATGTATGGACACCGGAACGACAAGAAAAGCACGTCGATCGTCGTGAAATGCTTCAAAAGAACAGAACAGACCGCGATCAAACGACCGTTAGCGGCGGTGCACGCGTCGTCGACCGGACCAGGGCGACGGCGATGCAGTGTTGCCAACTTCGTTGGTGACAGAGCACGGTCACTTTCTTACTCAGGTCCAAGACCGGGGGCAACTCAAAATACACAAAATAATCGAACAACACTACTCTCAACAAGTGGGATTGCGTAGCAAATATTAACACGAATATTTTCCTAAACAATTTTTTCAGTATATAAATAAATAGGTATTATATAGATACATTTAAAAATTAAAATTATTTAATAATAATATGTAAGTATGTAGGTATGCACCTATGTAACTAATTTTAATTAATTTATCTATGATTGAATTATGTACAACATAGGTAAACTCACTTCTTAATCATTAATGAAATGTTCATCTACATATAAATCATTGGTTCTTTAACCATTTCATTTATATTACTGTCTGTATGGTCCTAATGAAAATGTTGTATTAAAAATATAAATAAGTTTTATACTTGCACTTTTAATGATAAAATTTTTTTTTTTTCTGGAACAAGTGTACTTACAGTGTACGAATAAAATGATACAACATAAATTGAAAGTTGCTTATTGTATAAATCTGTACCGGTACCAAGGCATAATTTAGTAAATTATCTCAAAAAAAAACATTCAGCTTCCTTTACCAGGCAGAGGCACCTTTTGGGTATGTTGTGTGAAGAGATAGGTGTATTATAACATAATTATTTCTTTAGTAAAACGATTGTGACTTCTAAGTAAAGCTGAAGTATAAGAAACACTCAGAATTTAAATTTAGATACATAGTCAAATTAGTATTTAATAATATATATAAAAAAAAAACAGCCAACATCTTACCTTTATTCTTAAAAAGTTAAGCTTTCGCTGATTTTTATCATTTCTATAACTAAGGCCGATCGCACACCAAAAGAGCAAAACTGTGTTAGTCATCGTTAGTCATATTTGTTTTAATCAACTTAAAACAATTTGTTTTCTATATACGCATATCAGTTAGTCAAGACAAGTCTAGACAAACAATTTTTTAGTTTCAAAAATGTCATCTGACGAAGATGTTGCCATTTGCATGTGGTACTCTCTACACAATTTAGAAGAACGGAGAAAAAAAAGATATGGGTACACCCATTAAACCAAAAACGTATCACTCACAACGTAATTGTATCATTTATATGTGAATTACGATCTGATGAAAAAAAATTTAAAAATTATACACGTGTTAGTATTTCAACTTTTGATTATATCATACAGCAAATAGGAGAGGAAATAAGAAAAGAAGACACTAATTTCAGAAGAAGTATTTCTCCAGAGGAAAGGCTTTTAATTACACTAAGGTAAGATTTGATAAGACTAATATTTTAGTATGATATTTGACTGTATTTAGTGGTACATCATTATTAAATTTATTAAATTTTATGTAAATAGATAAAAAGAAATAGTATGATATTATTTTATATAAATTGTGTACTCGTTAACTTAATCATATGAACTGCTACTATCTGTATTAGGTGATGCAACATCAGACGCAAAAGCATTGTAGAAGTTATTCATATTTTGCCCTCCATCTTGTCCTACTTGCAAAGAATATAACTGTTGTCCATTTTGAAATGAAGTCATTTGTGCTTGTTTATTTTGTTCTTGGTCATCAATAAAATTGTTTAAAGTTGATAATACAACTTGTTTAAAGCGACGTTGATTTTGATCGTTAAGTTTTTTGTAATCGGGAATTAAACTTTTGAAAAATAATAGTTCTGATGAATCTTCAGTGCTAATTTGCTTAGTCCTTTACTTTAAAAATTTTATCATTGGCTCAGCTAATTGTTCACTTGCTGTTTTAAACTGAGTTTTAGGTTTTTTCGGTCTTTTGAATACTGCTTCATTTAGTTGTTGTTCACAATCTGATACTGTACCATCTTCTGGTGTTGAGGTATTGTCTTCTACTAGTGATGTATCAAACGAGTATTCCTCAGATTCACTGCGTTCATCAGATTCGTTCAACTATCACTTACGTTGCTAGTCATTTGTTTATGTTGTAACATGAAATTTGACAAAAAACTCATGCTTTCAAAGAGATACCATTTCCTTTTCTTTGATGCAGCTGATCCAGATTTTTTATTTTTTATTTCACGCAACTCTCTTGCGTATGAATTCCTAAGAGAAGTCCATTTATTTTTGCACACTGATACTGAAAAAGAAAAAAGAATAATTAATACTAGGTATTTATTTATATTGAATACAGACAATGCCGTAATTATACGTATTAATAATTATGAATTTATGTCGTTTGTTCAAAATTAAAACCAAGTGTCAATTACTACAATTAATTAAGACGATTCAGAACTATTATAAACAATCATGATTATTAATCACTCATAAATGTCAGTTTACGATACATTTTTGATTTTGTGAAATGTTAAGTGCATTCTTTGAGATTTTAATTGTACTATTATATAATATACCTATTAACTATTATATATTAATAGTAATAAAAACAACGAGTTAATATAATATATATATTTTTTAATGTAGGTAATAAACATTTATATATTTATTTTTTTTAGTTTTCTGGCTTCTGGGGAACGTTTCCAACGCCTACACTATAACCTTCGAATAGGAGCTACTACTGCAGGTAAAATTGTGAAAGATACATGTTTAGCAATATGGACAATTTTATCACTACAGTATATGCCTTTACCGTCCACCGAAGGTTGGTTAAAAATTGCAAGTGAATTTGAAAAATCTTGGAATTTCCCAAACTGCCTTGGAGCTATAGATGGTAAACATATAGCAATTCAATGTCCGCCAAATTCAGGATCTGCCTACTTTAATTACAAAGGGCACCACTTCATCGTTCTACAGGCAGTCGTTGATGCTAATGCCAAGTTTATAATTATTGATGTCGGTGATTATGGTCGAAATAGCGTCGGAGGCATTTTAAAAGAATCCAA